GATATACTGTGATTGTAAAAACATAGATGGTCAGACAGAGCTGGGCAATGATCATGTAGCCTATGTAGAGTTCATAAGATCACTTCTCATTTCAATAAACTGGCAACCACATCTGGTGTATGGCATTTGTATACTTTAGCTTGTGTGGAAGTTCACTGACATTTGGCTTTAGGTGCACCTCTGAAGTTTCCCTTTACTCATTTAAAGGCATAAGTATAAACCCTCTGGGGACCTGCCTCCACTTCCTTCACTAATCCTGTTTGCCTGATTACAAAAAAGTCAAGCACTTTGTGCAGACTGCTCGTTAGACCAGAAGTAAACATCACATCCTTTTCTCTCTGTTTTCTCTTCAGCAATTTTCATTTTCAACAGTTTTTTGTTTCCTCAGTAAATGGAAAATAAACAAGTTCCATAATAGAAATACAGTTTTTCATAATCGAGGGCAGGTTATAAATCCAGTAGGGTAATGGTATTTGGTTTAAAAAGCATAGCGTAGAATCCCTTGGATTCTACACATTTTGCCATTGGAGAGATAAAATGTTACTGTTTTAAAGCTAATTTCCTGCAATTCTACACATTCTTCCATGACTTATGCCGTGTTCTTATTATATCTGAGTGACTCAAACGTTATAACAAAATCAATGGGGGCCCCATGACATGACATTTGGGGAATTTTAGATTGTCCCTGACTGTTTAGTTTTTATTTTGGTGATTGATAGTTCTCAAAGATGATCTTATTTTTAAAAAAAATATATAGCTCCATTATCTTTTCTAGATACTTTATATATGGTTTTCGTTGTTTAAGTTGACCTTGAAAACATTTTACCATCCTGAAGATTATTTTCAAAAAAATATATATTATTTTCTATTTTTTTAATCCTATATTTTGGAGGCCCACCTCTTCTAAATGAATATCGGGAAACACTGGGATCTTATGACAAAATGATATATGTATCAAAAGCTCCACAGACAAAGATCTCAGGAGCGTGTCTTACAAACAATCTGTTCATACAAAGTGCAGACCAAAGTGATAGGTGTAGTAAAAACAAGACACAATAATTGCATCCCAACAGTGAAATGGTTTTCAATCAAAGTATTCATTGGGAGTATATTAATTAGTACACTTAAGTACTACAGTGTTCGGTTCTCTTAAGGCACATTCAGTCATGATCATCACAAGGCAAAAAAGTTACACCTACTTAGCTGTATGGAATCATATCTTGTTCTGATCGTTATACTAAAATGAAAATAATTGACATACAAACAGAAGTTGATAATACAACACAGAGCTAAGAATGAATCACTTTAAAGCGTAGATAAAAAAGGAATAAAATAATTTGGCTAAGTAAAGTTTGAAAGTGACATCTCTCTACTTACCATGTACTATATGGCAGCAGAAGAGGTGTGTCTGTGTGTGTCTATGTAGTTTGCAATACTAGTAATTGTTGACATGTATCCTATGTCAGCCCTGTAGAGACTGTATTCTAGTTACTAGCATTGACAGTACAAAAGGCTACCCTGTATATTTGCAGAAAGGGGGAGGGTTTTCCTAGGAGTAACCATGGCTCTGGGAGTATCCTAAAGCTTCTGTGAGATTGTGCAAGGCCACTGACTCAGTCATTATATGGTGTGAAAAGGAGTAATAGTGTAATAACATGGTGGATACAGATGGATCTATTGTCCTCTGAGAATTGGCGTGCCCGTCTTGGTATTGGAGGCGTAGTTTAACGTTGAGCAGGGTATGATGACTGGAACTTGGCCTCTCATTGGTCAGTCAAACATTGTTGCTATTATGATGACTAAAATGAGGAGACCCAATGCCACACAAATGGCAAGCCAGAACAATTTCTGTGAGTGAGGAAAAGCAAAGAGAAAATTGGTTCACTGTTCATTTAGTACATATCATACCAGAAAGGCACATTTTAACTGACATGGGTGATTCCAGTGTTATGGACATTACATTTGCACGAAATGTCACAACTTTAATGCTTCACAGAATGGACAAAAAATATATAAATGAAGCTTTTGATGTGTATAGTACTATAGTACCCCTTGTGGGGTTTGTATACCCCAAAAAGTAGACTTGTAAATACTAACATGTTGGAGAAGTAAAGCAAATAAGAAATGTTATGGATGTTACATGAAATGGACAAGCTTTTTGGGGAGACTGAACATATTAGCAAAAGTCTATGAGTTTCTAAGTTTTAGGTCAAAACATGGATTGCCATTTCGAAGGAAAGGCGTGGCTGAACACAAAAACAATACATTTTGGAAATATTGTCATTTCCATTATTACTTTAGAGAGGAAAAACAACCGTTATGGATGCCCTTGAGCAAGGCACTTAACCCTAATTGCTCCTGTAAGTCGCTCTGGATAAGAGCGTCTGCTAAATGACTAAAATGTAAATGTAATGTTACACCCTCCGTTATGGATGTTACAGAGTCTGAAATAGACATTCAAATCTTAAAGATTTCTTGCTCAAAATATTTTATAACACATTTGTTGACATTTGGAATGTTTTAAAAATGTCAGCAGAAAGCATAGTACCTTATGATTACATAATTACAGGTAGCCTGAATAGTATACAAGGCCAGGCACCACACCTTAATAGATCTAAAAATAAAAAATAAACAGTACTGCCATATATGAGAAATGCATTTTAGCATATATTTTCCAAGAGAATCTTAGCTAGAACACATATATTTCCAAGATATCAACAATTGATTCGGTATAAGTCTGAAGAATACATCCCAGAACAAGATAGCTAAGAAGCTAAGATATGATCACATCCACAACCGTTATGGCCGTTATTGATATTAGAGATATCATAATGCTGAAAAAGGACACTGACAAAAAGAGAGAAACCAATTATAGACAATATCAAAACTTGATGAAATGTAACTTTACAGAGAAATTTCAAGATGATCCGATCAAAGGTGCAATTTTTACAAAAACTTGTTAAAAACTTTATGGATGTTACATTGCCTGTCCCTGTCACCCCCTTATCGTTACAAGACTGTAGAACATGCAAACAAAACTCAAGACACTTCAATTTGGTCTGTATTGCTTCGCCAGGGTTGTGGGTTCAATTCCCACAGGAGGCCAGTATGAAAAATTAATAAATTATGTATGCACTCACTAACTGTAAGTCGCTCTGGATAAGAGCGTCTGCTAAATGACTAAAATGTAAATGTAATTAACATTCTCATCTTCATAACTAATACTGAGAGACAGCCGTGAGGGAAAAAACAAGCTCTGTGAGCCCTTTCTAAAAGCCATGAAATATGATTGACTGAAAAGCCTCCTGAGAATTGGCCACATACTCTGTTATGTTTCCAATGACATCATCAACCAATTAGTAGGCAATGCCTACTCATAATTGGTTAAAATCACACGAGGCACACCGATGATGTCATTAGAAACACTTATCTTCCTCTATCTCTTTTACTACATTTACTTTTACTACAAAAGCTAGAAACGCACAGGTTTCACATTTGTTGATGTTGGGGTGGTGCTAGAGATGATGAATATGAAGTTGAACAATTGTGAAATTCCCTTTTAATATATATATTTTTATTTATTTAACCTTTATTTAACTAGGCAAGTCAGTTAAGAACAAATTCTTATTTACAATGACGGCCTACACCGGCCAAACCCGGACGACGCTGGGCCAATTGTGCGCCGCCCTATGGGACACCCAATCACGTCCGGTTGTGATACAGCCTGGAATCGAACCAGGGGGTCTGTAGTGACGCCTCAAGCACTGAGATGCAGTGCCTTAGACCGCTGCGCCACTCGGGAGCCCAAATTAAGCCTGAACTCCAATATATAAAGGATATTATGAACGTGGTTTCATTTCAAAATGACTAACTTTATTTGTGCATGCTCAGGTTGACTTTTACATGGAATCGGCCACATATAATTGTCTAGGTGTTCATCTACTAGTTACTAGTAATGTAACTTGGGCAATTTACCCATTACTGTGATTCTCAAATTCTTAAATTCAAAACTGAACGGCAACATCAACTAGGCTTGGGCAGTATACCGTATATACCCGTATACCGGGGTATTTGCAAAAAGCCACGGGATGGTTTTTCAATACCGTCAAAACTATTTCTTAGAAGTTTTTCAATACATTTTAATATTTGTTGCCACTTTTTAAGTTAATACCTGCAGTCAACTTGTACAATACGTTAGGATATAAAGAAGATTGCCTTCTTCATTTCACCTGTCACATTATTTTACATTATGAAGTTTCCAGTCACGTGTTTGTTTGTAAATAGCACAACGGGAGAAAGCGGGAGCTGGTGAGTCCATTGCATTCTATATCTATCGGCGAGTCTCTGTTGTGTGGCGCACATCATGATGAAGTTACACTTGTATGCAATTCACTACTAAATGTTTGCCATCAGATATCTTATAATGACATTCTGCAAGAAGTCAAAGAGCTCTAGAAAAAGTATATGTATAGCTGCCATTTTTTCCCTGTGCTTCCTATTCTCCCCTCTGCTACACATGCTGCTCTTCATTCAGAAAAGCATTCATCACAACTTTGTTCGTTTGCACAATTTATAACTTTATGAGCGGGATTTGCCTGTATTTGCAATTAGTTTGTTTGTTTTCGCTCGTTAGCATTTAGCTAACAGCGTCTTTGTGATTTCGCTATTAGTTTGTGCTAATTGTGTTAGCATTCTGTTAATAGAGGCCAAATGTGCTTTTCTTGCGTTTTTAGTACCCCCTTGTGTGCTATTTACATTTAACATTTTAGTCATTTAGCAGACACTCTTATCCAGAGCGACTTAGTTAGTGAGTGCATACATTTTTCATACTGGCCCCCCGTGGGAATCGAACCCACAACCCTTACGTTGCAAGCGCCATGCTCTACCAACTGAGCTATGACAGTAATACCGTAAATCCCAGGATAAGAGAAGGACGGTATGATGATATGAAAATCTGGATACCGCCCAAGCCTAACATCAACTACTATCAAGTACAGTACCTCATTGTGTTAAAATATGTAAATGGAAGGTGTTGGTGTTGAATGTGATGTTGATGGAATATACAGTAGTAGTTACCTCAGAGAGATAGCAGCACAGGGCTCATACAGGGGATTTGGTTAGTCCAACAGACAGCCCAACAATTAGTGCAATGACAGCAAGCAGGATCAATAGAGCAAAGGCAAAGATGATGAGTTTCTGCCAAGGACAGAAACAAAGTGGTTAGATTAGGTTTAAGGTGCATAACCCAAAACACTACACTGATTTGAGTGAAACCAATACTGTCATATTCAATATTTTGACTTTTAATTTAGACGTTAGATATTAGTGATGGGGGACAAAAATCGATACAGTTACATATCAGGATATTATTAAATAGTGAGCAATAAAATCAGTATTGAATCGCAATAAATATCATATCGGCACCTAAGTATCGTGATACATTTGTATCAAGAGGTCCTTGGCAATTCCCAGCCCTATAAGATATGGCATTTAGACATTCTGTCTGGCATTTTAAATCTTATCAGTATATGATACTGAAATAATATTATTCTTATGACCAAACCATTCAGAGCTGTTGCATTGGTTAAAAGAGTCTAACTTGAGCAGTATTATAGAGTATTATTAGTATATACACCATGTGACCTTCCGTTTGGGGAAAAGGAGACTTACCCTCCGGGATTTTTTCTGGTATCTCACAGCTTTTTTGGTCTCCTCTTTGGCACGGCCTATGTATTCAGCTGCATTGGAGACATTCTTCTCTATGTTGTTGACCATATCCCCCTTTTAGACAACACCACATGAGTTCCATATAGTTTTGACAAAAAACGGAACTAATAATATTCTGGACAGCGTTACAGTACTGCGCAACAGTACCTGATTCTCCACCAGCATGGCCATGTCCATAAACATGGCATGGAGCTCCCTGATGCTGGACTCCAGGCGGATGATATCCTGGTGCCTTGACTCAATCTCATTCAAGGCCTGGCGCGTGATCTGAGAGTCAGAGATAATCTGACGGAGGGGGTGGGAGACAGGACGACAGCAAATGAGACAGTATATTTCATTCAAATACATACAGTGCATTCAGAAAGTTCAGACCCCTTGCCAGCCATATTCAAAAATGTATTAAATTGTTTTTTCCCCCTCATCAATCTACACACAATACCCCATAATGACAAAGCAAAAACAGATTTTTAGAAATGTATGCAAATTTATAAAATAAAATACAACTGAAATATTACATTTACATAAATATTCAGACCCTTTACTCAGTACTTTCTTGAAGCACCTTTGGCAGACCTGTATTTGGGGAGTTTCTCCCATTCTTCTCTGCAGATCCTCTCAAGCTCTGTCAGGTTGGATGGGGAGCGTCACTGCACAGCTATTTTCAGGTCTCTCCAGAGATGTTAGATCGGGTTCAAGTCCGGGTTCGGGCTGGGCCACTCAAGAACATTCAGAGACTAGTCCCAAAGCCACTCCTGCATTGTCTTGGCTGTGTGCTTAGGGTCGTTGTCATTTTGGAAGGTGAACCTTCGCCCCAGTCTGAGGTCCTGAGCGCTCTGGAGCAGGTTTTCATGAAGGATCTCTCTGTACTTTGCTCTGTTCATCTTTCCCTCGATCCTGACTAGTCTCCCAGTCCCTGCCGCTGAAAGACATCCCCACAGCATGATGCTGCCACCACCATGCTTCACCGTAGGGATGGTGCCAGGTGTCTTCCAGACGTGACGCTTGGCATTCAGGCCAAAGAGTCCAATCTTGGTTTTATCAGACCAGAGAATCTTGTTTCTCATGGTCTTTGAGTCCCTTAGGTGCCTTTTGGCAAACTCCAAGCGGGCTGTTATGTGCCTTTTTACTGAGGTGTGGCTTCCGTCTGGCCACTCTACCATAAAGGCCTGATTGGTGGAGTGCTGCAGAGATGGTTGTCCTTCTGGAAGGTTCTCCCATCTCCACAGAGGAACTCTGGAGTTTTGTCAGAGTGACCATTGGGTTCTTGGTCACCTCCCTGACCAAGGCCCTTCTCCTCCGATTGCTCAGCTTGGCCGGGCGGCCAGCTCTAGGAAGAGTCTTGGTGGTTCCAAACTTCTTCCATTTAAGAATGATGGAGGCCACTGTGTTCTTGGGGACCTTCAATACTTCAGAAATGTTTTGGTACCCTTCCCCAGATCTGTGCAGCGACACAATCCTGACTCAGATCTCTACGGACATATCCTTCAACCTCAAGGCTTGGTTTTTGCTCTGACATGCACTGTCAACTGTGGAACCATATATAGACAGGTGTGTGCCTTTCCAAATCATGTCCAATCAATTGAATTTACCACAGGTGGACTCCAATCAAGTTGTAGAAACATCTCAAGGATGATCAATGGAAACAGGATGCACCTGAGCTCAATTTTGTCATATCAAAGGGTCTGAATACTTATGTAAATAAGGTATTTCTGCTTTTTATTTTTTATAAATCTGCACACATTTCTAAAAAACAGTTTTCGCTTAGTCATTATGGGGTATTGTGTTTAGATTGATGAGGATTTTTATTTATTTAATCCATTCTAGAATAAGGCTGCAATGTAACAAAATGTGGAAAAAGTGAAGGTGTCTGAATACTTTCAGAAAGCACTGTACATATGGGAGGATTGGTGTTCCATTTACACAGAATATTAGTCGTTTTGGAATACTTGCAAACCACAACCTGAGTTATCTTGGTATACTAGATAGTGTTGGTAGTTGTCTGATTTGTCCTGAGAAAATAATGGATGTGAGAAAGTAGCATCAGACAAAGGCTGGAGATTGAGGAGGTACTTACATCAGATGTAAAAATGGATGAGTTGCCACTCTCCAGCATGTCCTCCAGTTCCTCATTGCTAGTCACTCTCCCAGCTATAACCAGGAAAGAAAATACTTTCACCAAACAGGTGCTAAAGCATCAGCAGAAAACATAAAACATGTTCTCTCTTCTCTATGGGGAGAATAGTCTCTGTAGTCACAACCACAGTGTTATGATCTAGGCTATTCCTCAGAGGGACTCAACCCTCACTGCCTAACATGATCAAACCCACTGTGGCTTACAAACAACCTGGGATCATGTAAATACTGTAAGCCCATCCACCCCAGTGAATATATATAACCTATGATCTATGATTACTATACAGCACAGCCATGAGCCCGCCACTGGTCATGTAACCAGCTTCTCTATAGACAGGTATTGAGGCAACACTAACACGGGTAGGCTAGATGTGTGTGTCCTGTGTCAGACTCTTCTCTTCCATCTGGAGTGTACAGTAGTAGAGAGCCTCATTAGGACTATCCTAAGGGACTGGAGGGGTTACAGTTATTTCTGTCATCATCAATTATTCTCATTCCAGACAAATACTCCATATGAACATTACATGGGTTTTTGCCATGGTTTCTTTACAGCAAAACCCTTTACTATCATCCTATATTTTCTGTGGCCGTAGTCTGATTGGTCTAATGGCCTCACTATCCATGCCATGACAATAGACAATAACATACAGTGGAACCGGAATCGTTGCACTATCTGACTATAGACAATAGGTAATCATTGGATAGTTTGATTGGAATTGTGAACACTGTAGCCTGTGTGTTATTATCGTGGGAGAGAAAGCTGCTAGGTGTGGTCGGTTTCCTTTCTGTGTTCCTGTCTGCCCTGCTGCTAGCCCCGTTTGTGACTCACTTATCTCCAGCTGTCTCTGGATCCTTCCTTTGCTTCTCTCCCTAAACGACACTTGAGTCTCGTTGTACTGAGTCATGACATCCACAAACTTCCTGGAGAGCACCGTGTGCTGTGGGGTTAGAGAAAACATAAGGTGAGGAGAGGATAGAGGAAAGAGAGCTTCAACCACTGGCAACAGTAAAGTGGATAAAGGCTCAAACTGTTGAAAGGGTGAGATATCAAACAGCTGTGTCAAAACATGGTGGCAGACATGGTAAACTTATACAGGTATACAGGTAAGTTAGCTTCCAAGTATCTCTCTGTCTTTAACCACAACCTTTAAGAATGTGTCAGCATTCGCAAAAATGTCAGGAATGAGTCTCAGGAAGACTGTTTCCTGACCTGGGTTTTCTGAATGCGGAAATCAACCGAGGCCCTGTTAGAAACATCATCCTTGGGCAGGCTCTGCTCCATAGCTGCAGAGAACAGAAAGAACAGTGATTACAGTAGCTATAACATCACCTCAGACAAATCCTCCACATCTACCTCTCTAAATCTATCAAGCAGCATTTGGGATGAGGCATTTGATCCAGTCATATCAATGACAAAATGACAACAAAAAAGATCCCAAAATGTACTGTACGTCGTGGTGTTAAACTTACATTTTAGTTTAACTCTCACAGAGTTGGCATTGTTTTTGATCTCATTGGTCAACCGGTCAAGTTCATCTTTCATCTCTTTAGGAAATAACAGCGACAGAAAATAAATGCATTATTGCACATTTCCAACATTGTCCTGGACAAATATTAGCATTAATCATATCACTTGGCAACTCTTCTATAACAATAACCTATTCTTCATATTTATACAGATAAGAAACACTACACCTACCACCCACTGGGCAGAAGTCAATTCAACGTCTATTCCACGTTGGTTCAACATAATTACATTGAAATGACGTGGAAACCATGTTGATTCAACCAGTGGATTTGTGGGCAAACAAATATTTACACCCTCTTGGGCCATTCCCAGTTAGTATTATTGTGTAGCAGATGGTTGATACTGTGCTACTCTGGTGGTAATACTGATGCTGCTGCGTTGCATTAGAGAGTCAACTGAGGGCCTTTGTCCATGCAGGCCTTGATTAGCTCCTCATGCCTATTCAGTCTCCACAGTGGATCAACTTTGAACAAGCACAGCGTAACTTGTCCAAGCCCTCAGTAAAATGGCCCTGCTGCTAGAGGGGTCAGACAAAGCCCACCCACAGACTGGCCTGGGAGGGCTGGGCCATGACATTGTTTTCTATACAGGCTTCCGGACACCCAGACATCTATTTGTATTGAGTTGTGTTTCTTCCTGGAAGAGGACAATGATGTTAGAGGAAGTAAGAACGTTTGTTATATTTTTGTTATTATGACTTCAGAAGTCACCATCTAAATACCAAGGCATATATTTAGTCATGCAAAAGTTTTGAATTCAACACTTTAAATTGCTTGAGAAAATAAATGTTGAAAACAAATAGGAGAGGAGCAACATAGCTAGATCTCAAACCACCTTCACATTGGGAATGTGGAGGTATAGTCACCAGTATGACTAATGTTATTACACTATCATTTTGACAGAGGGTTTTGATTGATGATCAACTTACTCTGATCTGGATTGGGTGCAGACAGGATCATGCTGTGCTTCTTCCTCACCTCCTCCACTTTAGAAGATATCTTATCAATCAACCCCCTAACCTCTTCGACCTAAGTCATGCACATACAGTATTTTCAATGTTATTTCAATGCACAGACACTTTTTACAGTAACCATCTAGTTCATCTGAAAACAAACAGTACTGACTGAACCACTGTACTTGCCCTTCTGAAAAACCCTTCCATAAATCCATCTCTGTCAACTGTGACATCCTCCTCTGCCTGTGTCCTGCTCTGTCAAGACAAAAGTGTGAAGACACTGTCCATTGTTAGGGAGTAAAGCCTCTTGCACACTGCCCATATAATGTGAGACTCAGAACTGTGTGAAAAGCAAATAAGTCGACAAGACATTGAAGACAATGATATTATCATGACATGGCATATTATTAGCCTGGCTGACGCGAATCACGTGATGTCAACCAGGGTTGCATTCCCTAGACCTAGAGAATATAAAATAATAAAATAGAATAGAAGGCTACATTAATGCCTGATTAGATCAGTGACATAATATTAGTAGGCTACATGTACTTACTGCGGTTAATTCACCCAACCGGTCCTTCATCACTCAGTTCGATGCGTTTTTGATTGGCTAACGTTAGCTAAATAATGTAACCACTTCTCAACTCCATCGCATCTAGCTAACTTTGCTAGATAGGTCTGAGTTTAACAAACATCAATTTCTATAGCCATGCAATGGGAAAAGTTTATTCTCTTTCAATCATTAGCTAGGGAAGCGTTGTCCAATTCCTCAAAATCAGGCATCAACCAAAATGCACCGTTAGTTCGCTAGCTAACGATCTGGTTGTGGCAGACAACATAATTCACATGATCCTCCTACAAATGTTGGAATGGGAATGGGATACGCCTCTCCTCTGCCAGAGGAGGCTCGCACCCAGCACTACTCCTGTGACAGCAGTTGTTGTTCAAGTTATTGGCCACACAGTGGGGCTGTTTACTAACATACAGTATAATGTGCGGTTGTGCTCGGCCATCTCTCCTCCTGTCCTTTTTCCGCCATGATTCACCTGGTCGCAGGTGATTCCAAATAACCCTGCCTCCAATTTCCAACATGTAAGAACAGTTTATTTTAGACTAGGTTGTAAAAAATAATTATATTTCTATGGTCAGGCCATTAGTCTACAATAGGCCCAAAGGATGAAGAACATGAAACAGGAGTGAAACTCACAATGAGATGCAGGCATCCTGCTGCGATGGATTTTAACTCAGGTATGAGTAGATAGACCTAGGCCTGCCAGTACTAGACGATTGAATGTCGATTTTCCTGAGTATATCGACTTTCAATTCACTCAATCCAATTTAGGTATATCTAAGGAATTGGGCTTCATATCTGCTTACATCAGTGCACATGAATATGTGGCTTTTCTATTCCCTTCATAAAGATGACTGTTCAAATAAATAGCTTAAAATACAGTCAGCATCCATCCCTATCCATCAGCATCACTGCTCCGTTTTGTTCTGACAAGTCAAAAGGACACAGCGCTGTAATTTATTTTGGTTAAATCTCTTTTTTGTTTAGAAAAAAATATTATTTTTAATTTCAATAGTTTTTGGACAGTAGGCCTATGCGCGCGCCATTATCACTCATTAAGCTATTTACGCACACTAGGCCCCACCTTGAGTTCCAATGCTCTAAAAATGACATCACGTTTTGAATTCCCACATCCAATCGAACAGCCCGAAGAATTCCTCCACTCAGTGCAAACCTAGTATAGACAGACAGCAGAGCGCATCAAGCAACAACAAGTAGCCAAATCCGTCGCTGGAATAGTCCAATATTTCTTATTCTGTATTGAGAGACATGGATTACCAACTTTTGGGGAAATTTTGAATGGACACGCAGTTTATGATTATGATGTCCACCGCTCAGTTGTATTGCAGTTTTACAAAATGTCAGGGAATTAAGTTTTGGGAGAAAGTTTTCTTTATTGGAGACATGGACTAATAAATACCCAGAGAAGAAGATTGCTTTTTTTTTTCAGCATCTTGGAATAATGATTTACGCTTTCTGGATCGATCGTTCATTGGGGATTTAAACAACAATAAGCAGTATTTTTTGTAATAATCTATTTGTAGTTGTAATCAAGCCATGGAACTATTATTCGAAATTCTGTTTGTAACTACTTTTGTCACTTTGATTCGGGTAATTTAAACAGTTATTTTTTTCATGTCCTTCACCATTATGTGTAGGAAGGCTACTGCAATGTTGAGTTTATTTGATTTATTTACAGGTTAATGGTGAAATAAAGCCAAAGCCATCCAAGCATCCAGGTAAATCGAATTATGCTTTGTTAAATACCTACACCAATAACCTACAGCATATGATGAGTATTATTGGTTATTTAGCTAAATAAATATAATGTTGGGATGATGAATTATTGGTTATGGCTTACCATAAGTCTAATACTCAGTAATAGTGGTTTATTAAGCAATGCAAAATGTGTTTATTGAATGAGATACCCAAACATCAACAATTTAGCTGTATTGTTGATCTTTTTAATCCTAAAAGACACACTGAGCAATGCCAGGAAAATAACTAATTGAAAAAGCATGATTAGGGAGAAGTCCCATCTGGAGCTTTGTTTACCCATGAACTCTCCTTCCAGGCCTGCAGGTCTTGGCCACAGCCTCACACTATTGGCCGCTGGATTCGGTGGACGGGATCCATGGACTGTGGGACCAGATTGGAAACAGACCAGGTCATGTTAATGGAAGTGATATAAGTATGTGCATAGACCTATACTTAGGAATAGAATACCCAGTCTTTTACATTCTTTGTCCGCATGGTCTACAGCTGTTATTCATTCCTCCTCTCAATTCACCTTTTTGCCCGTCTTGCAGCCACCAAGTCCCTGCTTTTAAAGGTGCAGCTGTGTGCAGTGCTCAAATTTGATTACAGTCAAATTTGTAAAACAAACTTACAAAGTAGAGTCAAGATAAGAAGTCTAAAGGCTACTTTACACTCCACTTAACCCTTGCTAATGTACATCAAAGCACTGTGGAGTTATAATAAACAAAATGGGATAAAAAGCTTATCCTTCACCCCCAGGTACATTTGATTTGTACTTTCCAGATTAATGCTAAGACTATTGAATGAGCTGTCTGCTGTTTGCTAAACTGATTTCCAAAAACCTTAATGTATTATTTTAACAATGGAAGCGCCAATAACTTTTCTAAATGCTTCCACAGTTGTATATCATTTGAATAAGCTTAAGCTAGTTTGAAACGTCAAAGTCATTCGGAATGGGATACGTTGTGACTCACAATTGATCATATCAATTGTGAGGCATCAGGTCTAGACTTGAGAACGGTATTTGGAATATTTCCACACAAAATGTGCATTGATCCTAAGAAAAGGGGAAATGATTGATCTGTTCCTCCTTGAGCACTGTTTACTGAGCCCAACATCGCACTTAATCTCATCCCTGCTCACGCACCACATCCCTCACAATGCCTAGTGTCTGTGTTTGTCTCTCACTGGTCAGTTGTGTCCTCTGGTTGTTTTGTGTTATTCATGTGTATGTATGTGAATCACCTTTTTCTCCCTTGTCTGTTTGTTTTCTATGTTTCATCCAGCTCTCCAAATCCACAACCACACTGTGCTCCCTTCCTCCCATAACTCTTCCTCTGTGTATACCAATGACTCTGCCTACACTAACATTTCTGCAACAGTAGGTGAGGAAAATCACTGCTCACTGAAATTCATTTGTGTGTATAGTCAGTCATGCTGCTCTGTCGGTGTTACTGTAGTGCTATCTGTCATGTTAAGGCTATTCAGTCTCCATCGTTTTGTACATGGTGTACCAGCTCACCCAATAGTTGCCATGAGTGTGTCACACACTGTTACCTGAATATGTTGAATTTGTCTGTGTGTGTGAGACAGTGTGTGTAGTCAGGGAGTTGTTTTCTTCATGGGAAAAAGAGCCAAGACTGCAGTGTGTAAATCGTGATTACACAAGCTTCGAGTATGGAGGTTTAGAAATCTGTATCTAGAGTGCTGTAAAGTTGAGCTTGACTATTAACCTCAATACACCAGGACGACTTCGTTTTGTCTACTGACATGATTTAAGGCAGGAGAACATCAAAGATAAATACAGGTCATAGCTTGCTACCATTCAATATGGGGAAACACCCCATATTTGGTGCAGTTCAGAGAATCTGTTCATAAATCTATGATGTTTGCCTATAAAAAAGCCTACTTCAGAGAAAAATCTGCCTCTTTTTCTCATCAGGCAAAATAATGTTGTTATTTCATCCTCCTGTAGACATAGTTGAAGGGATGGTCAACAAGGGCATCTATCTGAATGGAGATAATGGAGGCACCTTTCTCCACTTTGGGAACTACCAGAACTCTTGCATTAGTGACCCCACTCTGTGTGGTCCTGAGGGTGAGTTCTGCCTCCCTCAATCTCCTCTCCCCAACATTCTACACAGTACTGACAATGGAATATTTTCACAAATCATAAGTGACTATCTAATTGGGTAACACAAAAAAATATTTTTCTGCCATTTAATGTAGATCTAAATGTATTACAATTAGCATGATTTGTGGTCTGAAACAATTTTCCCTATTTTTAAATCTCTAATAAATCTATGTTCATGTTTTTCAGGGATTACATTTTCCTTCTTTTGGAAGAACCAGGAGGCAGAGTCACGTTTTGCAATAGCCTCTGGAGGGAAAGTAATCTCCAATGGCTTCTCTGTCTATGCCAATGCCTACGCTGGATACGTAGAGTTCTACACACGAGGCAACTCGAAGAGGTGGAGGGCTAACATCAAAATACCAGGTATTTAAAGGGTTACTTTGGGACTTTGGCAATGAGGCCCTTTATCTACTTCCCAAAGTAGATTAACTCAAGGATTAAATTTTTATGTTTCTGCGTGCAGTTTAAAGGAAGTTGCTAACTAGCGCTAGCACAATTGCTAACTAGCGTTAGCCCTTCCATTCATTGCGCTAACACTAGCAGATACCCATAGACTAGTTAGCATTGGCTCGCAAAACTACCTCTAACTTCCTTCACACAGGACACAAAAACATAAAAATGGTATCCACAAATTCATCTGACTCTGGGGAAGTAGATAAAGGGCCTCACTGCCCAAATCCCAAAGTATCTCTTAAAAAAAAAGGAAAACCATTAAGATGAAAAAGTTGATAAAATTCATTATGATTCTAAATAATTATTTAAAAAATATAGTATAAACCTGTCCTCCGATGTGGGTGGTGAAAACAAAACAAAAAAACAAATTACATTCCAGATATTATGCCGGAGTGTCCTGTGGATTTTTATTTATATTCTTTATGAATACATGAGGAATGTATTGTGGTTTTCAATCATGTTTTCATTTTGAACCATAAATGTACATGTTTTGGTTGATTGTAAGCAGATGGCGCTACAATCATCAGCAGATACAGTTGGTCCCAGAGAGATTTTATGGATTCAATGATGGATTACATTTATTCTTTATCTCAAACTATAAATGTGTTACTTTTTACTGGCAAACCTGTTTCCATATTGTTGTGTAACTACAGTGAATACTGAACAGCATTCTAAATACTGCATACGTACGCTATATATACAAAAGTATGTGGACACCCCTTCAAATTAGTGGATTCGGCTGTTGCTGACAGGTGTATAAAATCGAGCACACAGCCATGCAATCTCTATAGACACATTTTTGCAATAGAATGGCCTACTGAAGAGCTCAGTGACTTTCAACGTGGCACCGTCATAGGATGCCACCTTTTCAACAAATCAGTTTGTCAAATTTCTGCCCTGCTAGAGCTGCCCCGGTCAACTGTAAGTGCTGTTATTATGAAGTGGAAACGTCTAGGAGCAATAACGGCTCAGCCGCGAAGTGGTAGGTCACACAAGCTCACAGAACAGGACCGCCGAGTGCTGAAGCACGTAATGCGTAAAAATCATCTGTCCTCGGTTGCACTCACTACCGAGTTCAAAACTACCTCTGGAAGCAACGTCAGCACAATAACTATTCTTCGGGAGCTTCATGAAATGGGTTTCCATGGCCGAGCAGCCGCACACAAGCCTAAGATCACCATGCGCAATGCCAAGCGTCGGCTGGAGTGGTGTAAAGCTCGCCGCCATTGGACTCTGGAGCAATGGAAACGCGTTCTCTGGAGTGATGAATCACACTTCTATCTGGCAGTCCGACGGACGAATATGGGTTTGGCAGATGCCAGGATAACACTAACTTCCCGAATGCATAGTGCCAACTGTAAAATTTGGTGGAGGAGGAATAATGGTCTGGGGCTGTTTTTCATGGTTCGGGCAAGTTACATTTACATATACAATTACGTCATTTAGCAGACGCTCTTATCCAGAGCGACTTACAAATTGGTGCATTCACCTTATGATAGCCATCTTTGCACTCTGGGAGGAGGACACAACGGAGTTGTCAACCGTGATGGCGAGATCATGGAGCGGGCAGTCCTTCCCCGGGAGGAAGAGCAGCTCCGTCTTGCCGAGGTTCAGCTTGAGGTGGTGATCCGACATCCACACTGATATGTCTGCCAGACATGCAGAGATGCGATTCGCCACCTGAAGGGGGAAAGGAGAAGATTAATTGTGTGTCGTCTGCGTAGCAATTATAGGAGAGACCATGTGAGGATATGACAGAGCCAAGTGACTTGGTGTATAGAGAGAATAGGAGAGGGCCTAGAACTGAGCCCTGGGGGACACCAGTGGTGAGAGCACGTGGTGCGGAGACAGATTCTCGCCACGCCACCTGGTAGGAGCGACCTGTCAGGTAGGACGCAATTCAAGAGTGAGCCGCGCCAGAGATGCTCAACTCGGAGAGGGTGGAGAGGAGGATCTGATGGTTCACAGTATCAAAGGCAGCAGATAGGTCTAGAAGGATGAGAGCAGAGGAGAGAGAGTTAGCTTTAGCAGTGCAAAGGAGATCGGAATTATATTAACTAAGCATCTGGGAAAGCGAGAGAGTGGGGCCTCCCTCACGTTTCACTGAAACACTCAAATATAACTCTCCCAACTTCCACTTTAGATTAATAGACTTTAGTTAGTGTCTGGTCTGTTAGCGATGTTACCAAACAGGCTAGTTCTGTCTCTTACCTCTAGTTAGTGTCTGGTCTATTAGTGATGTTACCAAACAGACTAGTTCTGTCTCTTGCCTCTAGTTAGCGTCTGGTCTGTTAGCGATGTTACCAAACAGACTAGTTCTGTCTCTTACCTCTAGTTAGTGTCTGGTCTATTAGCGATGTTACCAAACAGACTAATTCTGTCTCTTGCCTCTAGTTAGTGTCTGGTCTATTAGCGATGTTACCAAACAGACTAGTTCTGTCTCTTACCTCTAGTTAGCGTCTGGTCTATTAGCGATGTTACCAAACAGACTAGTTCTGTCTCTTACCTCTAGTTAGTGTCTGGTCTGTTAGTGATGTTACCAAACAGTATGTCACCTACCTAAACAATCACTTAGGTAATATTGGTAATTTATCATCCAATTGCCATCCCTTATTTTTTTATATATTTTTTTAGACTGTCCCTTGCTTCTTTATTGCTCCTCCCACTTCCTGATCTCAATATTAAATAAATGATCTAGGTAATAGCTGTTTCGCATTAGATTGTGCCTTCCTCTGATTACTGCAGCTCATTGCATTAATTTAGTTTCAAATACCAACTTGTTGTTTATTAAAGAATACTAAAAATGAAATTTAAATGACAACATTTGATAATACCTCAATTTACTTCTATCCCGTAAAAGTAATCCAAGATTAGTACAATTGACTAGCAACAGGTATCCCTCATTCAGGGAAAGCTCTCTCTCTCTTCTGTTATTTTATGGTTCAAATCATATATATTATTACCAAATTATAATCTTCTTCACACTTTTCACAGTATTATAAATTACCCTCAACTTAGTACAATAAACTATCTTAATGTCCTCCTCTCATGCCTTTAGAATTTACTAGTGTGGATGATTAATTAACACCAGAAAGACAAAACAGAGTTCAGAGGCAATTGAAATTATTCAACGAACTGTTCCATCCCATAGTATACCAAACATTACCATTATTCTAAATATTTCATAAATGTTACTTATCCCAAGTGTTCATTAAGTCCTCATGACATTCATTCTCATAAGAAATCATATATACCCCAAACTCAGCCAAAACCGAAAAACTCCATAAAATTCACTGTGCGTGCTCCTCCAAGACCTATCACCCTTGACCTGCTGAAAACCCCCCAAAATTGAAACAACAAGGCTTTATAAACATCATACTAGGTGTGTTGTTTTTTGTTTGAAAAACCCGATTTGAAAAACAACAACCACAAATACCCAGGCCCCACTTTAATTTGGTAGCTCACTGCCTAACTTCACTACTGCTCCCCCTCGCCCTGAGCAACATTCCAATGAGATAAGCTAATTCTCTTTCTCCTGGTTATAATTTTGTTAACCTTCAATTACCATCAGTAATCTAAAGATGGTAGTACACACAAAACATGATACAGATATCCCCAGTCCTAACCCATCAATAATTGTTTGTATCAATCTAATTCCTCATAACTAATCCATAAAACCACTCAAAATTCCTCGAGTATACAATGATTATTTAATTGATTACCTTAAATCTGCTACATGTGATCTCATCTCAAATGATCCATTATCAATTATTTGATCAATCCCCTAGGAAAATCTGTCTCCCCTTCTATTGTTCCTGTCCCCCCTGTAAATGTCATATTAAATTTTTTAGCCAATACAATCACGATTACATCAAATGTTCCCTCCTTTGGCCATCTAGCCACTATCTTTCTGGTCCTTTTTCTCATTTGTTAGAGATATTACCAATATCTTCACTATTTTCTGGGAACCTTCTCTTCATGATTGCTACTGGTGATCCTGCCATCTCTACTTCTGGTGTGGTCTAATGTCTATATTAGGGTGTAAGGTAAATTATTCCTGTTGTCTTTTTCAGCTAAACGTTTTATATTCCTCAGTTAATGGTATTTTCTCCCTAATATATCTTCATACTCTTCTCTTTCCCTAAATGAGATTTAATCCCTTGCCTTTCCTCTACTATCCTTCTATCATTACTGGATCAATGATAATAACTGTAATAACTATTAATAATAATTGTAATAACTATTTCACATTAAATTGTGCCTTTTTCTGATAATGTTATAATTGTAGCCTATTGCATTACTTTAGTTTAAAATATACGTTTGTTTATTTAACAAATCTAGAACCCACTATAGGTTGGTGCTATTCCCTCAGCATAATAGCTAAAGCTACTTGCATCCCCTGGTCCCCGTAACGAAAATAAATTATCGTTCTAGAATACAATACACCACTGGTGTTAAGCAACCTATCGAATAAAGTAATAACAATTAGAATTTATCAAAGCACTGCCTTTCAGTCAAGTATTCAGACCTCCACTTGAAATCTTACAGCTCAATCTAACTCGCTTGACTGTCTTATTTTATTTTTATTTTTATTTTTTCTCCCGCTAACCAGAGCCATAAATTATTCTCCTTTGTCCTCAACTCAATTTTCACAGCTCTATCGCCATTTCAGTTCGCTATTCAATTTCTTTAACTGTTCTCTCTGATTAGGCCCTAATTAATAAAACAAATACTTGCTATCGTTGATAAGCATACATTTAATGATATTCCTATCATTTGAACTATCTCTCACCCCTCCCCTTGCTCCTTCCTACACAATGGGGAAGGCGCGGGGACCTTGTAATATATTTTCATAGACCTTTCTAGAATACTTCTACTTAAGCTATCTAATTCAACCTTTCACATTTCTCAATCCACGTAGTAATCTAGGTCTATAGCCCCAATGCGAAAGCTTTACCCACTGTCCCTACCTGTGTTCGAACCCGGGACCCTCTACATACATTGCCAGTCACCCCATACATTCCGCGATGCTTTCAAAGTAAATACTTCCAGTTCATAGAGCAGGCGACGTCACCAAATGAAAACCGCTGTCAGGGTTGAGTGTAGAGGTAACGTGGAATCACACGCAGGACACACAGAGATTCGAAACAGATGTCTTTAGTGAAGTCCGAAAATACAAGCCAAACACGGCAACAGGCCACAGGCGAAACATACGCACACTGGTAAGAACCAAAGTAAATGCGCACAACGTGCAGGACTCTCTCAAACAAAACGAAATACAGAGAGCACAGAACAGCGAACCAACTACTACACGTGACATCGAACAATTACACACAACACCTGACCAAACACAAGAGAACTAAATAGGACGCATAATGAACACTTAACAATGAACAGGTGTAACAAACAGACACAACCAATCAAACATAGAAACATAGAACGGTGGCAGCTAGTACTCCGGAGACGATGACCGCCGAAGCCTGCCCGAACAAGGAGAAGGAGCAGCCTCGGCCGAAACCGTGACAGTACCCCCCCCTTGACGCGCGGCTCCAGCCGTGCGCCGACCCCGGCCTCGGGGACGACCAGGAGGACGCGGAGCAGGGCGCGTAGGATGACCACGATGGAACTCGGTCAGAAGAGACGGGTCTAGGATGTCCCTCCTCGGCACCCAGCACCGCTCCTCCGGGCCGTACCCCTCCCACTCCACAAGATATTGGAGACCCCCCATCCGGCGTCTCGAATCTAGGATGGACCGAACAGTGTACGCCGGAGCCCCCTCGATGTCCAACGGGGGCGGAGGAGTCTCCTCTATCTTATATTATTATATATTATATATATATATTATATCTCATAGTCCTGGAGTGGACCAGCTACCACCGGCCTGAGGAGAGACACATGGAACGAGGGGTTAATATTCTTGTAATCAATGGGCAGTTGTAACCTGTAACACACCTCGTTCAATCTCCTCAGGACTTTAAAAGGCCCCACAAACCGCCGACCCAGCTTCCGGCAGGGCAGGTTGAGGGGCAGGTTTCTGGTTGAGAGCCAGACTCGATCTCCAGGTGCATACACTGGCCCCTCACTGCGGTGGAGATCGGCGCTCGTCTTCTGTCGACGGATGGCTCGCTGCAGATGGATGTGTGCAGCGTTCCACGTCTCCTCCGAGCGCCGCACCCACTCATCCACCACAGGGGCCTCTATCTGGCTCTCATGCCAAGGTGCCAGAACCGGCTGGTACCCTAACACACACTGGAAAGGGGTTAGTTTAGTGGAGGAGTGGCGGAGAGAGTTCTGTGCCATCTCGGCCCAGGGAACATATCTCGCCCACTCCTCCGGCCGGCCCTGGCAATATGACCTCAGAAACCTACCCACATCCTGGTTGACACGTTCGACCTGCCCATTACTCTCCGGGTGGTAACCCGAGGTAAGGCTCACCGAAACCCCCAACCGTTCCATAAACGCTCTCCAGACTCTGGAGGTAAACTGGGGGCCTCGATCAGACACTATATCCTCGGGTACCCCGTAATGCCGGAAGACGTGGGTAAATAGAGCCTCAGCGGTCTGTAGGGCAGTAGGAAGACCCCGGCATGGGAAGGAGATGACAGGCCTTTGAGAACCGATCCACAACGACCAGGATGGTGGTATTCCCCTGTGAGGAGGGAAGGTCTGTAACAAAATCCACCGAGAGGTGAGACCAGGGTCATTGTGGAACGGGCAGGGGTTGTAACTTACCCCTGGGCAAGTGTCTGGGCGCCTTACACTGGGCACACACCGAGCAGGAGGAGACATAAATCCTCACATCCCTGGCTAACGTTGGCCACCAGTACTTTGTGCTAAGGCAGTGCACTGTCCGGCCAATACCTGGATGCCCAGAGGAGGGTGACGTGTGAGCCCAATAAATGAGCCGATCCCGGACCTCGAGCGGGACGTACGTCCGACCCACCGGACACTGTGGAGGGCTAGGGTCGGTGCGTAATGCCCGCTCGATCTCCGTATCGACCTCCCATACCACCGGTGCAACCAGACAAGACTTAGGTAGCATGGGAGTGGGCTCAACGGACCTCTCCTCCGTGTCATACCGCCGAGACAGGGCATCTGCCTTCCCGTTCTGGGACCCAGGGATGTAAGTGATCTTAAACACGAACCGGGCTAGAAACATAGTCCACCGCGCCTGGCGAGGATTCAGTCTCCTAGCTGCCCGAATGTATTCCAGGTTACGGTGGTCAGTCAGAATGAGAAAAGGGTGTTGAGCCCCCTCAAGCCAATGCCTCCACACCTTTAGGGCTTGTACCACGGCTAACAGCTCCCTGTCCCCTACGTCATAATTACGCTCCGCCGGACTGAGCTTTTTCGAATAAAAAGCACAGGGGCGGAGTTTAGGTGGTGTGCCGGACCGTTGTGAGAGAACAGCCCCGATACCGGCTTCAGACGCGTCCACTTCCACTTGGAATGGTAAAGCGGGATCCGGGTGCGCCAGCACTGGAGCCGAGGTAAACAGGTCCTTCAGTCTCCCAAAAGCCCTGTCCGCCTCAGCTGACCACCGCAAGCGCACCGGACCCCCCTTCAGAAGGGACGTTATGGGAGCTGCCACCTGTCCAAAACCCCGGATAAACCTCTGGTAGTAATTCGCAAAACCCAAGAACTGCTGCACCTCTTTAACCGTGGTTGGGGTTTGCCAATTACGCACGGCTGACACACGGTCAACCTCCATCCTCACCCCTGACGCAGACAACTGATAACCCAAAAAGGAGACCGACTCCTGGAAGAACAGACATTTCTCGGCTTTGACATACAGGTCATGCTCCAACAGCCTCCTCAATACTCGGCGCACCAGGGCTACATGTTCGGCCCGGGTAGAACTGTACACCAGAATATCGTCTATGTACACGACTACTCCCTGCCCCTGCATGTCCCGGAAAATATCATCTACAAAGGATTGGAAGACTGATGGAGCATTCATTAACCCGTATGGCATGACGAGATACTCGTAATGACCGGAGGTAGTACTAAATGCTGTCTTCCATTCATCGCCCTCTCTAATGCGCACCAAGTTATATGCGCTCCTGAGGTCCAATTTTGTGAAGAACCGTGCCCCGTGTAATGACTCCGTCATAGTCGCAATCAGCGGGAGTGGATAACTATATTTCACAGTAATCTGATTGAGACCGCGGTAATCAATACACGGGCGCAAACCTCCATCCTTTTTCTTCACAAAAAAGAAGCTAGAGGACGCGGGTGAAGTGGAGGGCCGTATGTATCCCTGTCTCAGAGACTCGGCAATGTATGTCTCCATTGCCCTCTTCTCCTCCTGTGACAAAGGATACACATGGCTCCGCGGGAGCGCAGCTCCTGCCTGGAGGTCTATCGCACAATCCCCCTGTCTATGAGGTGGCAACTGCGCCGCTCTCGTCTTGCTAAACACGAGTGCCAAATCCTCATACTCGGGGGGAATGTGCAATGCGGGCATTTGGTTCGGACTCTCCACCGAGGTCGCCCCTACGGAAACACCCAGACATAGCCCCTCACACTGAGCAGACCACCCTTTAAGAGCCCTCTCTCGCCACGAAATAGTAGGATCATGGGTAATCAACCAGGGAAGCCCCAGCACCACCGGATACGCAGGAGAGTCGATCAGATAGAGCTGAATCGTCTCCTCATGACCCCCCTGCGTCTCCATCCTAAGTGGCACTGTGACCTCCCTAATGAACCCGGATCCTAACGGACGACTATCTAGGGCATGTACAGGGAAAGGATTATTTACCGGAAGGAGGGGAATCCCTAACTCTACACAGAATTTGCGATCTACAAAATTCCCAGCTGCGCCTGAATCTACTAGCGCCTTATGCTGGGAACGAGGTGCAACCTGTGGAAAACAAACAGGTATGGTTATGTGTACGACAGAAAGCTGTGGGTAAGTGGGGCGCCTACTCACCTGGGAGGACTCCCCAATGTGTGGCCTGCCTTCTCCTCCACCAGGAGACCCTCCCCAGCACCTAGCCGCGGTGTGCCCTCCACGGCCACAGTTGGTGCAGGGGACGGCCCCCCTCGGGCTCCTTCTTCTCCTTCCTCTAGCGCCAGCACCTCCGAGCTCCATAGGGCTCGGCTCGGAGGTGCTGGAGGGTGGAATGGGCGACCCCCACCTGGGACGCCCGCGGGTAGCGAGCAGGGTGTCCAGCCGAATGGCCATGTCAACCAATTGGTCAAATGAAAGCGTGGTATCCCTGCACGCCAACTCTCTGCGGACGTCCTCCCGGAGGCTGCAGCGGAAGTGGTCTATGAGTGCCCGCTCATTCCACCCCGCATCGGCCGCTAGAGTCCGGAACTCCAGTGCAAACTCCTGAGCTCTCCTCATCCCCTGCCGGAGGTAGAATAGACGCTCCCCCGCCGCCTTCCCCTCCGGTGGATGGTCAAACACTGCACGGAAGCGGCGGGAGAACTCTGCATAGGTTATAGTAGCGGCGTCTATTCTCCTCCATTCGGCGTTGGCCCACTCCAACGCCTTGCCGGTGAGACAGGAGATGAGGGCGGAAACACTCTCGTGTCCCGAGGGCGCCGGGTGTACGGTGGCGAGGTAGAGTTCAACTTGCAACAGGAACCCCTGACACCCGGCAGCGGTGCCGTCGTACGCCCTCGGGAGCGAGAGCCGAATCCCACTGGGTTCCGGAAGTTGGACAGGCGGGCTGACCGATGGTGATGGTGCGGTAGGTGGGGGTGTGGGTACCCCGCTGGTCTCCCATCGATGGAGGGTGTTCATCACTCGGTCCAGGGCGTGCCCGATTTGGTTGATCCTGTCCTCCTGTCCACGAAGGCGCTCCTCGATGATCTCTGTGGGTGCGGGTGCTCCTGCTGATTCCATAGAGATGGTGTGTAATTCTGTCAGGGTTAAGTGTAGAGGTAACGTGGAATCACACGCAGGACACACAGAGATTCAAAACAGATGTCTTTAGTGAAGTCCGAAAATACAAGCCAAACACGGCAACAGGCCACAGGCGAAACATACGCACACTGGTAAGAACCAAAGTAAATGCGCACAACGTGCAGGACTCTCTCAAACAAAACGAAATACAGAGAGCACAGAACAGCGAACCAACTACTACACGTGACATCGAACAATTACACACAACACCTGACCAAACACAAGAGAACTAAATAGGACGCATAATGAACACTTAACAATGAACAGGTGTAACAAACAGACACAACCAATCAAACATAGAAACATAGAACGGTGGCAGCTATTACTCCGGAGACGACGACCGCCGAAGCCTGCCCGAACAAGGAGAAGGAGCAGCCTCGGCCGAAACCGTGACAACCGCACTAGCTCTCACCTCATTCAGCAACACAAAGTAATGCTCTCTCTCCCTTCACCCATTCCCTATTGAATAAGTGAGTCTTTCTATTTAACCCCAACCACGCTACAAATCTTCCATTCAACATCAACAAACCAAATACTCAGTAGTATCCGGTCACCACCCATACCAGTAGTATCCGGTCACCACCCATACCAGCCGTCGAATTCACTCACACACACAGACCCCACCCCATGCCACCGAAATGCCCAACAAAACATAATAGTTCAATGGAGCCCCCTATTGGCTCTCCACTATTTATACATTACTTCCATAACCACACCAGTCATGGTCCGATCACCCATCAAACCCCATCACATGATCAAACAACGGCACAACCTTAAACTCGTATGGGGCGGCAGGTAGCCCAGTAACCAAGAGCACCGTGCCAGCAACCGAGAGGTCGCCGGTTCCAATCCCCGAGCCGACCAGGCGAAAAATCTGCCGATGTGCCCTCGAGCAAGGCACCCAACCCCAATTGCTCGCATACAACACCCTATACTCTAAAGTGTCCCTCTGATCCTAGCCGTACCTAGCCCTCTGGTACGTGTCAGTAGTGCAACACTATCTAAAATTGTAAGTGTCCCTCTGATCCTAGCCGTATCTAGCCCTCTGATACGTGTCAGTAGCGTAACACCTTTAACCAATAATTCCCTACGCCTCCAGTTCTCACCACTGGTGATCCTAGCCTGGAGTGACTAAAATGTAAGTGTCCCTATGATCCTAGCCGTATCTAGCCTTCTGATACGTGTCAATAGTGCAACACTTTTAGACCAATGATTCCCTACGCCTCCAGTTCTCACCCCTGGTGGTCCTAGCCTGGGGATTTCAGTATTTTCCCCCGATCCTAGCCGTACCTAGCCCTCTGGTACGTGTCGGTGGAACAATACTCTATGGTACCAAGGTTTAACATCACATTCACCACAGGTTTGCATGTCACAATATGGTGCTTATCTACTCATAATAATTCATATAATAATTCATAATTTAGTTCACTTACATCAGACAGGTGTTTCACAAAATTAATTTGGATAAAGCCAATGTGCAGAACTTTAGTTATATAACAATAGGTGTCTGCTTACCTGTTTTTAGTAGTCCGGACTCTTTGTGAAACACACCGTCCAATGACAGAGATGTCCAATGGGCCGGACAATACCCAGCCAAGTCCCTTCTACCAGATCAGTCGGAGGTCACCAATTGTTAAGTTGCGTCAATTCATATCTGGTATTGGAACAAAAAGAGGTCAATACACGTCTTCTAAAATAGACTAGTATTTTAATTAATGCAAAACACTTCAATGGTAAATATGATGTTCGTATATACGGGTCCACTGAAACACCACGTAGGGCAGACAGAGAACTGGTCCATTGTTATAAGTTCTTCTTTAAAAGTTCTTCTTTAAATACTCTGACAGAGATAGTTCCCGCTCCCTGCTGGCCTATCAGAGTAGAGACTGAGCGTGGTTTAGACTTACTCAGCCTATCGTTGGCGCACAGGCTGGTCCCAGTCCCTTGGCGCTTCACTGTTGCCAGGTGTTGGTTGTTTTGCAACTTGTCCAGAGAGTCAGCACTTTTGCAGTACACATGTCCTTGAGCGGTCTAACAAAGAGGCTGTGTGTGTATGTGAGACACAAGCCTTATCTCATCTTACCCCCTAACGTTCCTCACATTAATCACAGCTTGTTATATTAAACAGTCTATATCAGTACAGCACAAACCTATTATGTTTAATCATTAATGTATTCTTTCTATGCTAACAGCACATCTAAAATATAAGATAATAATTTCCCACATACCTCTAGTTAGCGTCTGGTCTATTAGCGATGTTACCAAACAGACTAGTTCTGTCTCTTACCTCTAGTTAATGTCTGGTCTGTTAGCGATGTTACCAAACAGACTAATTCTGTCTCTTACCTCTAGTTAGTGTCTGGTCTATTAGCGATGTTAACAAACAGATTAGTTCTGTCTCTTACCTCTAGTTAGTGTCTGGTCTGTTAGCGATGTTACCAAACAGACTAGTTCTGTCTCTTACCTCTAGTTAGTGTATGGTCTATTAGCGATGTTACCAAACAGACTAATTCTGTCTCTTACCTCTAGTTAGTGTCTGGTCTGTTAGCGATGTTACCAAACAGACTAGTTTTGTCTCTTGCCTCTAGTTAGCGTCTGTTCTGTTAGCGATGTTACAAAACAGACTAGTTCTGTCTCTTATCTCTAGTTAGTGTGACATTTTATATATTTATTATAATATCATATCTCCATATTACGTTGGTCCAGTTACTATGGACATTAAACAGTTCCAAACAGCAAGTCCCTGCAGCAATGTTCCAACATCTAGTGGAAAACCTTCCCAGAAAAGTGGAGGCTGTTATAGCAGCAAAGGTGGGACCAACTCCATATTAGTGCCCATGATTTTAGAATGAGATGCTCGACAAGCAGGTGTCCACATACTTTTGGTCATGTAGTGTATGTAACCTTTCATAGTATGTATGAAAGTCATGTGCTTAAAAAGTTCAGATATTTCTTACAGACCCAAGTGGACTCTAAATGAAGTAATTGAAATAACATAAACAATCTACTATGGCAAAACTATTTCTCCATCCCCTACAATCTCAGACCTGATCTGCTATTTCAGGAGGAAAACATATCATCTCGCTCTGTGCACTGCAGGTTCTTTGAATGAGAAAGAAACATTTACCAGTCATTGTTTATTAGAGGAAAAAAATGACCACATTCTCAAATGTCTTCCGTCATCTTGTTTTTGTTACAATTATTTAAGGTTATGAACATGAGGCATCAGGACTTCATGTGTACTTTTGATTTATTGGATTATTAGTTACAGAAGATCAAACATCTGGTTCTTGTAATTTTACATGATGATATGTCACCATTTCACCATGCAGTTGTTTAGCCTTTGACTCATAACAGAGGTAAAGCCTAAGATGACTATGACTCAACCAGCTCTTATGAGACCTCTACCAGTACCCGGAGACATGACTGGTTCAGTAGACCTTGTCACAATGTGTCCCAGCCTAACCTGCAACAGAAACATTTCTAAAAAAAATAAAGGGAGAGACTAAAAGGAAAGAGAGATTGAAAGTGTGAATGGGGAAGTTGTTGGTTTGTGTTTAAGCCAATCCCAATGGGATAGCTGTGTTTTAGTACTCTGAGTCAGCCTCCACTGGTGGAGTGAATATATTGTATTTTGGGATTCTCTTTAATGTCCGTTTACCTCAGAAGAACTGGAGATGTTATTTCCTCTTTGGAGAAGTATATTGGAGACATTTGAAGGAATAGAATGGAGGTGCTGACTAAATGGTTGGAGTGGAACATGGGACATATTGGGCGGATATAGTGGAAAAGCACAATTGAAAATATCTGTGACATACTGTAGGCTATAATACCCACATACAAAGAGTAGAACAAATACTTTAGGTGAATGTGCTTTATTTCATGCCTAACGTCATTTCCCTAAGCCCAATAAAGAATCCCTTTACTTTCCTGAGATGGAGAGTGAAGTCCTATTTATGATTTCTCCTCCTCTCTCTTCCCTTTCAGGGCCCTTCTGGACCCACATTCTGTTCACCTGGACCCTGAAGGACGGTCTCAACATCTACATCAACGGGACGTTCAACACCAGCGACCCCACTGGCAACGTGTCCATGAACTATGGGGACCCTTACCCTGACCTGGTCATTGGGACAGGAAATGAGCAGTCCTATGGACACTATGTGACAGGAGCCTTTGATGAGTTTGTCATCTGGGAGAGGGCCTTGTCACCAGAGGAGATCCTCATGTACTACAAAGCTGCCATAGGTAATGTCAGATGTCACCGTCAGTCTGAAATGTTCCACTCTTTTTTCCGTGATATGAAATGTTCACTATGTTCACAATTTCCCCTTGACTGATGTGAGGAGAGATGGGTTAAAAAGCAATTTCCGTCTTGGTCATTGCCATTGACATTCCATCCACAGTACTGACGCATGGAATACACAACAAGATATTAAACTGTACAAATCCTCCTCATCTTAAAATCATTTCACATACTTCTACCATAAAAGTGTTTCACAATCTTCCACCTTATAAGCGTCTCACATATTTATACCGTATAAGCATTTAATCTGACAAGGGCCATTTAGTGGGAATATAGGCCTAGCAGTTTGGTTTTAGATTAGAGGACTAAACTGACGATAAACTGAGTGACTGAAGTTTTTGAAAACCATAATGACCCGTGTAGCTCAGTTGGTAGAGCATGGCACTTGCAATGCCGGGGTTGTGGGTTTGATTCCCACGGGGGACCAGTATGAAAATGTATGCACTCACTAACTGTAAGTCGCTCTGGATAAGAGCGTCTGCTAAATGACAAAAATGTAATGACCTTTTTCATTGCTGCTTTGATTTATCTTGTGTGGTCTAGAATGATTCTGAAACTCAAAAGAAATGGACAATGTCCTCTGTATGGTCCGAGAAATGTTATTCAGAGCATGGTGAAATGTGTATAAGCTAGTAAAAATTGATGAATCACTAGTCATGCTTATGGAAAATATGAATAATGCGGGTGTGGACACCCATTCCCTGGGTTTTTGTCTAATGACTAGACCCCATTGTGAAGGACTCAGGTGGTCATGTTGCATGGATAAGGCATTGCCTTCATTTTCTCAGGACAGTTTTTTTCTCTCAGACATAACAGACATGAACACGAAGGTTGTTATGGTTATGGAAAGTGTTTTAACATGTTATACCTGTAGAGAATGAATGGGACTAAAGAAGAGCCGACTGTTGGAAGGGATGGTCTTAATGTAAAACCATATATGGTCATTTAGTGTTGCTAAGTGCACTAATTGATGTGTTATTTACAGACAGCGTGATGTCATGACTTCCTTCTAACATCTCTTTGGCTTGTACAGTACCTCAGTGATGTATTTGGTGGTTGATTATCTAAAGAGCAGGTACAATAGCACAGCACTTCTTTTCATCTATCCCGGCTGGGGGATGGTCCAACCATCATCAGACACGTACCAAGGAATGATGAATCTTTGGGGCCTGAACAATTCCAGCTCTTCTCTAAGCATTCTATTTGGCATCTAGCTAGTGTTGCTGTAGATAACAGGTGGAAGAGCACTGCTAATGGGTCTCTTATATTTCTCCAACTAGGTGATGCTTTGACTTATCCTACCACACCAAGCGTTTCTAAAGAAGTCTGCTCTACGATGCAAACACCGGTGAGTTCTCAACTTTGGAAATGTATACAGATGGACCTCTTACCATGGGAAAGTGGATATTTTAAACAGATTTCAGTGTTTTACTACTAGGACAGACACACGGCAGCCTCGCAGGAAATGAGGTAGAAGCCTGGTGGTTAAACAGCAATAAACACAAACAATTAATTCCTTATGGAACCATTGTTTTCCTTTAAAACTGAGGAATTGGAAAAGGGGATATTGAGAGCACAAGTGAATAGACCTCTCCTGTCTATTAAACAGCAGTTGTGGGCGTAGAGTGAAGAAAGCAGAGACAGCTGTTCAACACAGCACAAAATGGGTCCCTGTAGGGCATGACGCTGGAAAAAGACCAGCAGTCTTTTACAGCAGACTTCTATCGAGAAAGAGTTCTTACTAAGGGTAATGGTCACATAACGTGGTCCCATTTTGGTCTTTGGAGAGTTTCTGTGGAGAGTAATGCCTGGTGTTTCGTTCCCCCAGGGAGTTACAGATGTGTCCTATTCTATCATCACTAAGTTGAGTGAGGAGATCCACAGCTCCCAGGACCCTGTGCCCATGCCCATGTTAGGCTTCCTGGAGTCTCTGCCATTCAGCCTGCCCAACAAGACCATCCCCCACGACACTGCCAACAACTTCACACAGGTACAGGAACACAAGGATATAAACATGCAGGCATGCATGCACACACACTCACACACCAAAGTAGGTTGTAATAGTTTGTTTCAGATCACAGACACATGATGTGCTGTTGTGTCCCGTCCAGGCTTTTCTGAAGAGTGTGGAGGAGGTGCTGTCTTCTGAAGTGGCCAGGGAAGATGAGGTAAATGAGTTTCAAGTTTCAAGTTTTTAATGTCACGTGCACAAGTACAGTGAAATTCCTTTCTTTCTAGCTCTAAACCCAACAATGCACTAATCAATGTCAATGTAGTACTAAAAATAACATAAGGTTTACAGTAAACTAGCTATATGATACTGAACTGAGAATATGATCACATTCATTCAGGCTCTAGTTTAGTGCCCTCACACGTGCGATCCCAGGAATTCCTGAACAGAGAGACATTTTGAGCGAGTTTGTCATTACAATGTTCTATACACACTGAACAGGCGTTCTTGTTTTCATATGAGCAAGCTGAACCAGATGTTCTTAGTGCATGAAAACTTTAGTCACTTGGTCGTGGAGAGCACCAACAAAATGAAGTCAGACGGAAGTTACAGTAATACAGTGTATATAGTCCAAGCTGATAAGCGTCTTAACGAATGCTACTACTTGGTTTTATGGTCTATCAGTGACAGTTTACCAACTCTCCAAATACAGTAGATACAGTAAGTTGTCAGTGTGTCTTTATGAGTGTGAATGTTGTTACTGGACCGTTTGGAGCAGGAGTCCACCCCAGTGGTCAGTGGGCTGATTGAGACAGTGGACAAAGTGATGGTCCAGATGTTGTCCAGCCTGGAGTCCAGCCCCAGCCCCCGCTCTCTCATCTCACTGGGAGGAAAGTCCTTCGTAGCAGGTCAGTACAATGGCGACTCAACTCTCTCCTGACTGTACTGTATGACTCACAGACTGTAGTGTCTTACTGTGAAAATAACAAGTTAGGGTTGAGAGTTACTGTACTAAGAAGGAAGTTCAAGTAGAGTTTTGAATTAATTGGCTACATACAGTATGTTTCCCTCCTCAGAAGATAGAGATCTGATCAAGCTTAGATAACCATGGTTCTTTCCATGGAACCCATTTCCCCCCTGGTAGGGGTTATTTTTGCATAATATTTTGTTTGCCTGTGGACAAACTTGGGTTGTCTCTCTCCCAGGGGCTCAGTCAAATCTTTGATCCACCCATGAATCATCACCACCACCAGATAACACTGTGCTTTTGGCTCCCTGTCAGAACCCCTCCAGGTCTGGTGTTGGAGTTAGTTAACCACTCACAGTGCTCCCTCTCTCTCTGTTTCCAACCCCCGACCCCAATAGATTACTCTCTGATGAAGATTCCACAGAACTACAATCTTCCCCATTACCGCTTCCCCACGCAAGGAAAGAACTACATCTCAGTGCCCGGTGAGGCATTCACCATGCAGTGTGAGTTTCATACATCCCATTTCACTCTTGTTCTACAAACATACAATACATTTAAATACTCACTCTCTCACAGCAATTCATATTTTGTGTGTGTATTACACTGCTAGAATATAGCATAGGCTCATCTTTCTTTTGCGTCTGGCTCTTACTCCTCCTCAGCACACAGCTTCATTGGCTTGAATGTGAATAAATACTGGCCATTAGTTCTGCACACTGTTTCTGCCAAGAGAAATGTGCCCAACCAGTAAGGTCTTGTTATTGGGCAGTAGTTTATTATGATGATAGGTTTAAAGTCCTTTAACATAGCAAAGGTAGTGTGTGAGAGCGCCACCGTGGAACTGCTTGTGAGACTTTAAAGTACAGGATAACAGCTACAGTACTGTATGACTTCTATACAGAGAGGCAATGTATCAATACTTTTCATTCACTTAGCTGTCCATTCAAAAGAAACCCCTCCACTCACAGTGAACTAATTTATTTACTTAGCCCATTCTTAGTGGCAATGTGAATGCTGGTTAGTCAGTAATTACGGCAGTATTAAAACTGTGTTTGTTAGACTTGTGTTAGGGTCAGATCCACTTGGCTCCACCTGGCCCCCAAACGCACTGCGTTGCTACACTAACTTTTAAATAAACCATTTAAATAATATATTAAAACATAATTATCAGAAATGGAATATAAATGTTACTGCTGGCAATTTACACTCCTAGATTGAGTTAATGTAACGTTGTGCGTCCTGACACATGGCATACTGTATTAAAGGCACTAAGTGGCGCTTTTATAAGCCAATTAAGTGCAGAGAAAGTGTTAAAGATTAGATTTATTGATCTTGGACTGAGATACTTCCAAGTATTCATAAAAAGATGCAGAATAGGCCTTTTTCCATTATTTTCTTTCTTCCTTAGGAAAGTTTTATAGGCAAACTGGCCACCAACTGATCTCTACAAAGGCCTGGTAGGGGGCATTACACTCATAACATTAAAAGAGCATTACATTCAAGACCTTGACTGTTTTCTTACTCAGTGAGGTAGATTTGATTTCATGAAAAAGGTACTTTCACAATCAAGCGTTCCAGATCCCTCTCTAGTAGCTACCATGTTGTAGATGGGACTGGCCTACATGGTGGGGACAGTGTATAAGAGTAGGGCACAGGCATCCTGCTGTACTGTTTCAGTCATGGCACTGTGACTTGCATAATTTCCCAACACACACGTGGTCCATGGTCCCCCTCCGTCTCACCTGTGTGTGAGCATACAGCTCTCCAATTAGTCAGGGAGTGCCAACTTGAGGCAGCGAGGCTGCTTAATTAAGTTCCCCTCACTGTGAGCATTTTAGCAACGCATCATCACATTCTCAACCCTGCTATGAGTCTGTGTTTCACCTTTGACCACTCTCTCCCCTCCCTCCCTCCCTCCATCCCTCCTCCTTCCTTCCTTCCCTCCTCCCTCTCTCCCCCTCTCCCTACCTCTCTCCACCTCAGCCCAAACCACAATCGTGGGTCTTTTCTACCACAACATGCACAACTACTACAGAGAGATCAGCCCACTCAGGACCAGGTAAGGGGGATGGGAGAACACATAAAAAGCCCTAATCATACCAAACAGGAATGCTCTCTGTGTATGAATTATGAACCACTTACCTGTGTGATATAAAGTTATCCTGACCAAACACAGTACAGTAGACAGCACTGTTTAAAGAAAGTTTAGGGCCTGCGAAAAGTAATGTAATTTTCTAATTTACAAGCATTCAGAAGAGGCTTGTGGTTGTCAAATCATCTGTTTGGGGACTAATCAGAAAAGTATGCAATAAACTAAATAGTTTACTTTGCACGCTGTGCAATTAAGAATTACCGCCATTGAGAAGAAGTGATCTCAGAGGATCTAAGGGATGTTACGGCAATAAGCGCTCTGAGCATCAGCCAGGATCACTTCCTGTGTGTCCGCTGTGGTCCCCTGGCGGAGTGGCGCCCCTGTTTCCTGACGTCCAGCACGGATCATGCCTGGGGCCATTCCTTATCAGCCTCCCACCAGGCTATCTCTCATCTCCCCACTTAACCTCCACTGACTGATACACCCTGCCGTTAACTTCATACAGGATCTTGGCCACACACTTCTTTTCCCATCAATAGGGGAAGCGTATTACGATAAAGCTGTGAAATAAATGTTTTGCATGACTTGGAATTTGATGGTCTAAGCGTAAACAATCTGGTTTGCTTTAAAACATGTAGTTACTGGCAGACTTCATCAATGGCATAATTGCGTCTAGAAATACAGTTTATATGCTCAAGGTGTTGGACTGACTGTTGTGGCCCTCAGTACGGCACATAGCTTTGACTGCCTCTGCAGAAATCCAGAATCTAAGGCTGTGTTTACACAGGCAGCACAGTTCTGATATTTTGCCCAATTATTGGCAAAAGATTTGATCTAATTGGTCAAAAGACCAATTAGTGGCAAAAGATTATGATTGGGCTGCCTGTGTAAACACAGCCTAAAAGTACTATGTGTAAGTGATAAGGCACTTGGGATCAATCAGCTTCTGCTACAATATACTTTCTTCTAAACGAGTTTCTCAGTAAAACTGGATGACAGTAATAAACACCCATGTTTACAAAGTAGGAAAGCAGTTTATTCAGGAAATACCAATGCCAATTGGTGTCAGTATGCCACCATTTTAGAAGGCATCATTTATTTACTTCACATTTGATGGTTAGGTTAGTTCCTAATGGTTGTGTTTCACTCCCCAGTGGGTGGGAATGTCCATCTGTATAATGATACGGGGGTGTTGCCTCTACAACCTACCATCACTTACCTGTTGACCTAGAAAAGCTCCTGACGTAATGCTGTGTTTTCACTGGGACTGATGACATGACAGATGTATCAGAATCCCACTCTCATGCTACTGTTCTGAGCCCTCTGTGACACTACTGTGTAGATAGAACACCCCAGCAGAGCTCTCATTGGTGTTAGAGTGACATATCATCTCTCTCTCTCTCTCAGGATCAACGAGGCGGCTGATTTTAAAGACCATAAGATCCAGGTGGCCAGTTTCCTCATCTCACTGAAGGTGGAGCCATCACCTGCCCTGTCCGTCAACCTGTCTGGGGCTCCACTCATCAAGATTGTCCTCACACACATCCTGGTAAGAGTACACACACCTCCCAGGAGTGTTATGAATTACCAAACTATGTCGATGGATTACCATTTTACTGGCCGTAAGAAACCATCTCTGTTATGAGTAAAGGACTTGAAAAATTGTGCTAGAATACTGTTTGGCAATAGTTCTTCAGAAATGGGCAGCACAGGTGCTGGTTGCAGGACTCTTACCTTATCAGAAGAAGGGTGTGACTTTGGCTAAGGAGTATCCCCTTTTGTAGGCCCTCGGATCAATCCCCACCCCTTCCCCAAAAAATATTGTACATTTTCTTTTTTTGGGTGGGGGGGGGGGGGGAATAGACTCATTAGGTCTCAATGTACTGTTGACAGTAAAATTTCGAAATTTGGTTGTGCATCAGCAGTTTTTCTCTTGTTATGTCAGTCACCTGACAGTCACTCAATTAGCCCATGTCAGCTAACATTAAGTTAGTCTAGCCTGCAATCTAACCTTCTAGTAATCATGGTCGAATTACCAACCGGGGGGACCCCATTAATTTTGTTAGTCACTCTCACTCAGATATCAGATTTTTTGTGGCCCCCACCCCCATCAAAGTTGCCCATCCCTGATCCGAAGGCACTCAAAAATATCCCCCTCCCCCCTGTTTTCCCTCACAGTACGTGAAAGGAACTGTGTTTCTTATGGACAGAGGATTGTAAAGCTCAGTACTCACCAACACAAAAGAAGAAGGAAATGTATTTTTGTTTTCATTAGTCCCAACCTCTTTATTTTCCTTAAAAAAGCATGATGCTTCCCTAAAGAAAAGTGATTATCGACATTAGAACTGTAGGCTTTGGGCACTTTGAAAGGAACAACAATTTGAGTTTATGAACACATTTTTTTTGCCTTTCTGCTTTGTGGCATGGATTTAGTGGAGAAATTGTTGCCAGCTTCTTTAGACCTCTCCCATGGCATTTGAAACCCATAATAAAAGTTAACTTAGAAAACGTGTATGGCAATTGTTAGCCCTCCTCTAAATGCAGAAATGCAATGGAGAGCTCTATAGTCCCTCCATAGAATGCTCTCAAGTCATTCACTTCAAGTCAAACACTTTTCCATAAACACTCAATAGTTGTAGAAGGGGAAAATGACAAGATATCATCCAATAGTAACTTTATCCAATCATTTGTACCAAAAATAAGATGTGATATTTTTCCATCAGCAGCTAACATAAGCAGCCGCAGTCCATTTCACTTGTAGAGAATGTGCTTCCCCTGCCATGTGAGCTGCTCAGTTGAAAATATTCACTTGCTATTAAAGTGAATCACCATCAAAGGTATTTTTTTCCTTACGTCTCTCTTAAGAGCACAAATGAAAACCATGCGGTTTTGTGAAACCATGGCAATGGGCTTTGTTTGCCTCCATTTTCCCCTTGGAAATAAATGTTTATTTTGTAATGATCTGACCGGGTTCCTATGACATGATGACTGTTTGTTTTAGCAGACACCATGGGAGAGGTGAGAGTCTCCTCTGTTATGAAGTGCTGGAGATGCATTTCAGTGCTCTTTCATCTTGATTCAAGGTGTTTCTATTTACACTCACTTACACTGCCTTACCGCTCGTTGTTATGGTGCCAAAATAAAGTAGTGATAAAGCAATGGTTTTCATAGAAATCCCCCCCAATCAACATTGGTCATGTGACAGGAATAGTTTGGACCTCAACTCCAGTGACACCAAATATTTTATGACAAATTACCGTACAGTATGTGATTAGTTTTTTTACTTGGAAACTCCCAAGTGCCAACACCTAACGTAAGACAATAGCTGAAACTTATGTTTAGAAGTTGCATACCTCACACATCACTTTCTGGCTGTAACCATAACCAGAAAAAAAGTAAATATGCTATTACTGGCCTGTTGTGAGCCAGAGGATAGATTCAGCTCAAAAGTGACTGACTATTTTTGGAATTTTTATGTTTTTGGGAGCTGTTGGATACTTATCACCCTCCAAACTAGGAGAGAGGGAGAACTGCTCACACACTATGTGGAAGACCTTTCCCGTCATTGTTCACTCCGCTTTTTACTGCCTGTCCAAGTCCACTCCCAAAATGACCTCCCGTGGCGTGCCTCCACTGCTCAGGGGTAGCTTAATGATTTGTGATGGACCCTTCTGTTTTCCCAAAGCTTTTAGCCAGCAAGAGGAGAGAGAGACATCTAGTCACTTCATTAAAGTCTGAGCAGGGTAATTGTGTCAGCAGCAGCAGCATAGTCCTGTCAGCTCCCCCATATTTCACCATCCTGGTCATGGGGCCATGGTAACAACAGATCCTGTGTATTAGTAACACTGAAGTACAGGGATCATCAACTAGATTCAGCCGCGGGCCGATTTTTTCTGGAGCGGATGGTCGGGGGGCTGGTACATAATTACAAATAATTTGTAGACTGCAAATTGACTGCAAGAAGCCCAAACAGGTATAATATTTGACTAAAACATAATCATTTCAAACCTTGCTTACATTTGTATACGATCACGTCTCTCTATTATGCGTCGTGTGGGCAAGCGGTTTGCTGATGTCAACATTGTGAGCAGAGTGCTTCATGGTGGCAGTGGGGTTATGGTATGGGTAGGCATTATCTACGGACAACGAACACAATTTAATTTTATCGATGGAAATTTGAACGCACAGAGATACCGTGATGAGATCCTGAGGCCCATTGTCGTGCCATTCATCCGCAGCCATCAACTCATGTTTCAGTATGATAATGCAGTGGTTCCCAACCTTTTTTGATTACTGTACCACCAACTGAATTTTGCTCTGCCCGGAGTACCCCTGAAGTACCCCCTCATGTGCATTTTACCAGTAAGTCTATGGTCTCATGAGTCTTCTCAATTACCCCTGTGGATAGGCCAAGAACCCAAGGGGTCCTAGTACCCCTGGTTGGGAACCACTGTGATAATGCACAGCCCCATGTTGCAAGGATCTGTACACAATTCCTGGAAGCTGAAAATGTCCAAGTTCTTCCATGGCCTGCATACTCACCAGACATGTCACCGATTGAGCATGTTTGGGGATGCTCTGGATCGACGTGTACGACAGCGTGTTCCAGTTCCCGCCAATATCCAGCAACTTCGCACAGCCATTAAAGAGGAAGTGGGGCAACATTCCACAGGCCACAATCAACAGCCTTATCAACTCTATGCGAAGGAGATATGTCACGCTGCATGAGGCAAATGGTGGTCACACCAGATACTGACTGGTTTTCTGATCCACGCCCCTACTTTTTCTTTTTATAGGTATCTGTGACCAACAGATGCATATCTGTATTCCCAGTCATTGTGATGAGTGTGATGAAAGGAGTCAGGCGCAGGAGGGCAATCACCGAATACAGAGTTTATTCCTTCGTTGACACATAAATGCGCTTAAATAGCGATCAACAAAACAGGCACAGGGGAAACTCTCATCCCTGGCAAATACACTGTAACGGTAGAATCCAATAATACATAGGCACAGGGGAAAATCTACCCTGGCAACAAAATGTACGAGTAGCTCCACCGAGCTATACTACTCTCACAACTAACAATCACCCACAAGGACAAGTGGGCAGAGGGAACACTTATACACAGACTAATGAGGGGATTAGAACCAGGTGTGTGTGATTAACAAGACAAGACAAATGTGATGATGATTGGGGCGGCAGTGGTTAGTAAGCCGGTGACGACGAATGCTGAAGCCTGCCCGAACAAGGAGGGGAGGCACCCTCGACCGAAGTCGTGACAGTCATGTGAATTCCATAGTTTAGGGCCTCATTTATTTATTTAAATTGACTGATTTATATGAACTGTAACTCCGTAAAATCTTTGAAAAATAAAAATAATACCCGTGAGCCAAATTCAGCCCGGGCCGCCAGTTGGGGAACCCTGATGTAGTAGAACAAAAGCCACTTACCGTCAGGTCTCGAACACAAACAGTAGACAACCTTTGACCATCCACCTCCTTTATTTCACATGGAGGACACCTGTCTTATGGGCTGAAAAAAAGACTTAATGAAACCTATTGCTGTGAATGACTAAAATTATATGCAATTGATTGACAGCGTCACTGACCAGTCGTAATGATCTATAATGACCTTGTGTTATGGCTATTAGCATTGTTCACAGGGGAGTCCAAACAGGTCTGAGCGGATGGCCAGTGAATCTGACCTTGCATCCATGATTGATAACCTGTAAGCTCAGAGCCTCACCAAACATCTAGCGAGGTCATGTGATTCCAGAGCTATCTGGCTGTGCCGTATCTGTCTGGTCCAAGGTGACGCCACGCCAGCCAACAGGGTTCTGGGGAACGGCTCTGATATGGAGCGAAGGTGTTATCGGGTCTGCCAGAGGCCCGTGAGCTTTCTCACGCTATTCTGCGCTTTTGCTGATTGGGCCTTGGCTCCACCCGTGATTTATTAGCCTTGTCCGACGTGGGTCTGGTGTGGGAGGGTCAGCGGAGAGGAGAGGGGCACTGGGGTCTGTAGTTAAACATTAATACATACATAAAACACCCACTCCTCCTCCTCCTCTTCGCTCAAAGCATCACACTGATGGTATGAGATGAAGAAATGGAAAGAGTGATTTCACAAGGAATGCCGGTGTTGGTCAGTGTCAAAATTGAAAGGATTAAAAAAAAGGTTTTGACAAGCAGCACTTGAGTTTACAAGCTAATAAAGCTGTGTTTTGGAGTGGCGGCGGCAGCTCCATGAGGGGGACTGTGGGGAGCAGAGGAATGGAGAGGAAGTAGTGTAGGAGCGCTGGTGGCCTCTGTCTGTCTCTCCCAGAACTGACCCACACATTCATACTGTACTGCAGCAGCCACTTTTATCAGGTGCTGGAATGAAAGTGCTAGTATGAATGCTGTGTGTCATATTGACTTCATTTTATAGATCTTGCTTTTGTGCTATATTTGATCACATTTCTATCCATCTGCTGTATTCTTCTAAAAACAAGGGGTGAGAGGATGAGGGAGTGTTTGGAGGGGAGAGCAGGCTAGTGATTGCAAGTCTAGTAG